ACTACTTCCAAGCACTTTGCAATTTGTTCTCTGTTGTGTGGCTTTCTCGAGTTGCTTCATCAACTCATCTTGTTGGATGACATGTGGAGCAGCATGGGCTCAAGTTTGTGAAAAGTTTGAGCCCTGACCTATTTGCAGTATTTGTAGCACTGAACTCCCTATAATGACGTCTGCAGACAGGTGGTAGGATGGAAAGAAAGAAAATGAAAAGGACCTACAGCTATCAGCACTGACGTGTCCTTGGTTCCTGAGCAGGTTTCTGTCTCCCACAGTCCTCGGGGTGTATTTCTGAATAAGCACGCTGCCTGGGAGCTATGCCGTAATGAAGAAAAATACAGCATTTCCTCCACAGCCAGAGCTGATGGTAAATAATAACAGGACAGCATGTGGCTCATTAATTTCAAGCTTCAACGATGGGTCATCTATGCCTGTAGGGAGCCCAGGGGGCCAGAGCTAATTATAGCCGCTGCCCGGGAGGGAGATGAAGAGGAGGCTGTTAAAGCAAGAGAGTGTTTCCATCATGTATTGGCTTTATTATTCCTGAATGTGCAGGTGTGCCTCAGTGAGTGTGATTGCATGTGTCGTGCACATTCAGCAAATAAATAAATTTTTAGTTTAGTTTGTCTTACTGTGAATAATATGCTGGGTATCTTAACAATACAGTAATTTAATTGGCTTGAAATGGATGACTCTTTGACCTACCAAATAAGATAAATCTTGTATATAAATAAGAACACACACACACACACACACACACACACACACACACACACACACACAAAAGAAAAAACAACAACAACTTTTTTCAGATTTAGTTGCCACACTCTTGGTGTCAGAAATATTGTGCTGTTTAACAAAAATAGCTTAGAAGTTGATGTAATTTTGTATCTCCATTTCATAAAAACGTATTCGTTTGCAAGATGGTGAATGTGTTCTGCGTTGTTTCAAATTTAGTCTTTGACTCAGCCATTACATAATGCATGTAATTTGTTGTGATATGCTTGTGTGATTATTATCATGTTAAAAGGTCAGCTTTCATTTAAACAGCATTTTAGTACATATATTCTCACATTGTCTCTAATTTACTAATATGTGTGTGGAAATATTCTTATCCTAAAATAACAAAGACAGGCTAAAAGACTACAAAAAACCCAAAACAAACAACCAAAAAACAGGCAAAGGACGAGATAGTGTGTGACTGTGTGATCATGAACAATGATTAGGCTGGGATGTTATAGTATTACTGTATACTAGGGTAATTAGAAAATCAGACAGTGAGATCAAAACCACCAAAAACAAAACAAAACTGAAATGGAGATCACAGTTAGCTGACATCACTGAGCTAGATAATATTAAGTACTAGTAGACAAAGGTCAGTAAACTAAAAATATTTCAAATTTAGTCCCAGGGATAAAGGTGAGCCAACAGCATGGCTCATCCATGTTTGTAGTTTGTCATTTTCAGTGGCTCAAAAATAAGTGGGCAAACTAACATAGTTTTAAATAAATAAGGGTTGTTTTTATTAATAACGTTATCAATTTGCACTGTCAAGTGCTGTGTGGTTTCCCAGCATTTGGCTGAATCTGAGCAGTGAGTATAAGACTACATGTAGACACTTCAAGAAACACTTACTGGCTCAGTTCCATTGGCAGCAATATCTGTGCCCATACCATAACATTGCTTCTGCCATGTTTGACAAATGATGTGATGTGCTTCCAATTATGGAATATTCCTCTCCTTCTTCATACTTTCTTTTCCAATCATTCTGGTTCAAGTTCACCTTGGTTTCTTCTGTCCAAAATGTTTATTTTTCAGAAATGCTCTTTTAGTTGTTTTCTGGCAAAATCTAATCTGGCCTTCCTGATCAGAAAAGTGTCTTTAAGTCAACTGTTCAATTTCTTTTGAGTGTCTGAAAAAGGAAAACTATGTTGTAACTAGCTGTAATTCCAAAGCATGCACAAAGTTTGGTAAACCCCTTGAATTAAAGTTGAATGTCTATACTTCAATGATATATTCATTTAATGTGGCGTGCAGAGGCAAAACTGCAAAAATTGTGTCTAATACAAATTATTCAATTCAATTATATTATATTTATATAGCGCCAAATCACAACAGCAGTCGCCTCAAGGCGCTTTATAGATCGTACAATAATAGATACAGAGAGAAAAAAAAACCTGTAAAAAAACCCTGTGAGCAAGCACTTTGGCAACAGTGGAAAGGAAAAACTCCCTTTTAACAGGAAGAAACCTTCGGCAGAAACAGGATCAGGGAGGGGCGGCCATCTGCTGCAACCAGTTGGGGTGAGAGAAGGAAAACAGGATAAAGACATGCTGTGGAAGAGAGACAGAGATTAATAACAGGTACGATTGAATGCAGAGAGGTCTATTAACATGTAGTATTATGGAGCTAAATGCCTCCGGAGTCATATGTAGTTGTACATATGATTCTAAGCTGATCCATTTTATCCAGCACACACTTGAGGGATCAGAATGGTCTTTTTCTGCTGTCTGTATGTAAAGAAATGAGTAGCTGTGTTTCCGCTTTCTTCACACTCATATATATGCATTAAAAAAATTTCTTGAAGTAGTCTTCCATGTTTATAAATAGGCAAGTCAGATGCCTGTGTGATGCCAGTGGCAGATTTCTCATGCTAATCATGAATATGATTTACATGCTGATATGACGAGAATACCAGTGAATGATCTGTGACCAGCCTTATCTGAGTATGAATACGTCAGTTCATGTTTGCACTGGTATTATGTTCAGTTCTATTCTGTTCCAAGACTAATTTTCAAAGCCATTTCTATTTAAAAAAGTTGCTGATGGTGAGACTTAAAAAGATTATTTCTGTTACTTTAGACACTTCTGCTATTTCACTAAAGATGGCATTTTGGATTCAATTAAAAACATATTTTATCCCATACAGGCTCAAGTCATAAATCAAGAATGTGAAATGCAAAACTGAGAAGTTTTGGGTTTCTGTGTTCCACTTTGACAAATCCACATCTTAAAAGTTCTCTGTTCAGACTCATTTATTCAAAAATAAAAAATACCAAGTCAAAGAAGACATTTTTAATTATTTATTGTGATGTACACTTTCACTTACATGCACGACCAGTTTGATAATATGATTTAGTACATTGAGAGCATTTACCCAGCTGATGGTGAGACTGGTAGACAATTTTGCATAAAACCAATAAGGCAAGATTTCAGGATGTCCTAAAAACTTCCCGAAAAGGCTGCGTTGGTCCAAAATGCGGCAGCAAGTGTACTGAGTGACTATAAAGAGACAGCATATTTCTCCTATATTTTTTTTCTCATTAGTGTTAAATTAGGTTTAAACCTCTCCTTTTTGACAATGCTTATAGTTAGGGGTGGATCAGGTGACCCTGAAAGCTCTCTTAGTTACACTGCAATAGGTTTATTGAGTGTTTCTTCTTTAGTCACCTTTTTAACTTATTATATGGTGTTAGCCCACAACTCTGCATGTAGTCAGAGGTTATTGTTAACGTCTGGCTCTCTTCCACAGTGTGATTTGTCCTGTCATCCTCCCATCATCCCCAAGTGGTCACAGTAGATGGCTTCCCCTGCCTGCACTTGGTTCTGCCAGAGGTTTCTTCTGTTAAAAGGGACCATTTCAATGTAGTATTTCAAAGGGGTCCAAATTATACCAAGAAAGTACCCCACACATCTATACACTATCTGCAACAGACTGAACTGTAAATACAATGCACAAGGCATCCATGTTGTTTATCCCAAGTTCAGACCCGACCATCTAAATGTTGCAACCATTGCCAAAACTCAACAGACCAGGCAATGTTTTATTTCCAGTCTTCTATTGTCCAATTTTTGTGACCCTGTGGAAACTGTAGCTTCAATTTCCTGGTCTTAGCTCACAGCAGTGAGACTCAATGTGGTCTTTTGTTTGTGTAGCCCTTTTGCTTTTTGCTTTTCTTCTTTTTCTTTTTATTTGACTGTTGATATAAAATTCCCACAAAAGCTGCTGCCTACTGATATTGCTTTGCTCTCCCTCTCACTGTGTGTAAAGTTTCCTGCACTGCCTGCCAATGGAGAGTTTTCTAAAACTTATGTCCCCACCTCACACTCTTACAATGGACTGTTTATCTTTGTAAACAATAGCCTATGTTAGAGAGTGTTCAAAGAGTCAACAAATGAATAGGTTGATGGTAGGTGTTTTATTCTCTGCAATACAGCTTTAAGACGACGATGTCTGATTGCAAGCTCAAAATAAAATGACTACTACTAGCCTCACAGGCTATATGTATTACAAGCACCATTATTACTAAAGGAAGCCAAGAAGTAACTAAACATCTTAGACACTGAGCAGGAAGATAACAGAAGGGACAGGTGAAGAGGCTATGCTGCTAGCGAGTTGGCTATGAATTAAGCTAAGCTAGCGAACCCTAAAGACAGTGAATGAATATTGTGAATATTGTATAATATTGTTGACATGAAAAAGACACTCACAGGTGTTGGTAACCCTAGATTTGTTTGGCACTTAATTATTAACAGTCCACTGGCATAATGTACCTTGAAATTACAATTGACCCCAGAGTGGATAGTTTGCCTGAGGCAAGCTAGAGTTTGCCTCAGATTATATTTGGAATGACCTAGTGCAATGGCAAATGTAGTGCAATGATTCTTATATAATCCTCTTCTATTCTACCTGAGGTTAGTTCATAGACTGCAGACTGTTAGACATGATGGATAGCATTAACAACCCACTAGCTGCAAATAATCATGTGCAGTTCTGAAAGCGGTCTATGAGCTAACCTCAGCGAACACCAGCTAGCAATGTTAGCTCGGTGGCCAGTAGCCTTCAGTAATAGGAATAAATCACAGGGCAACAGTACATTGATATTGTTGTAAAAAGCATGACAATATATTAAGTAATCCAAAGCATTCAGAATACGTTACTCACATTGAGTAACTTAACGGAATACGTTACAACTAAATTTTGGGGAATGTATTCTGTAATCTGTAGTGGAATACATTTTAAAAGTAACCTTCCTCACACTGCCTGAGCACTCACCACCAACCCTTCGGTTAGTAGATGGCCTGCTAACCCTCCTGAGCTACAGCCACCTCAAATAGTTCCAAATAGAAAAGATGGTGAGAGCAGTAAGTTGCAGTTACCGGTTCCAAACCAGCTGCAACTTAACCATTACTGCATCTTGTTATGTTAAGTATGTGGTAGGTTAAAGACAAACTGTAGTTCTTTGTTAAATGAACTGAATATGAATATCTCAAAGCAGGAAATACAATCTCTAAAGTACGTGTGAGCAGCCGAACCTGGTCAAACAGGAAATATTAAAACAGAACCTGTATAGAAATTTAGCTGAGCTGTTTCATCTTCAGTATTATATTCATTGTAGTTCTGTTCTTTCAGTTGGCTGCAAATACAAGAAATGAGAGACGTCCGGGGAAAGTAGTCTGGATGCTTCATCACTCAGACTCTACTTGTTCCTTTTTCCTGCCAGTACATGCAGAAATATTCATTACATGCACGAGGAGTTCTCTCCAGCAGCTTGCATTGATTCCCCCCTCTCTGATTGCACAGAATGTATTGATCCCACTGACTGTGTTTTTTGTATTGAGATGCACACTGTGCTGAATTTCCTGCCAGGTTGTTAAGATGTTGAAGGTCAAATCCAGTGTAGATAAAGTTACTGTTTCGTTCCTACTAAAATATAGTAGTTTTTTAAATCTTTTGTGGATCTTGTGGTGTTGGCTGATTTCTCACATTTCCTCTATTGTATATCACATGAAAGTTATTCTCTCTTGCTAATGGAGAACTCTCCTTTACATGACCTTCTTCTAGTGAGTCTCTGGACAAATGCCCAGCAGGTGTTGCAGACAGGAACCATTTCAGTGATCTGCATGAGCAACTTTACTTAACTCATATTCACTAGAATGAATGATTTCATACGTTCTCCGTGTAAATACTGAGGACTACCAGCTGGTCTTTGTTACTAGAAGACAGCATAAATTGATTAAACTGAGATTAGTTAACTTTTTTCTAATGTCTTGTGGAAGCACTACTCTTTTTATCTTTGGGAGCACAACACTGAAACAACAACAAGGCTTCTGTGAGAGGCCCCAGTATCAGTATGGTATAAATATGGACCCAACTTTAATGTCAGAAAAGGCAAATCAATGCAGTTTTTTTTAACCCTGACAGAATATCCACTATACTATTACTACTATTAATAGAGCACTGCATTGCTGGAAATATATATAAATTTAACTAACGAGATGCAGCATTTCCAGTATGAAAGATTACGCTAAACCTTAGCAATTGAGCTTGCTAACTGGTGGAATTTTTTTTATCTGTTATAAACAATAGAAAAATATCTGTAACAATTTTGACAAATAATGAGTGCATGTAGGCCCACTACTTGCAGGAGGCTTGCTGCCTGCACATTAAAGTTTTCATCAACAGGGTTGTTCACTTGCTCCTTTGGGCCGCAAACAGGTTGTGACTGTGGTTTACACTGTATCCAGCCTTCTTGGAGTCCCTGGCTTTAATGGTCAGGTGGGCAATGGGGCAGTGAGACCTGGAGAGGTGTGATTGTATGTAATTTCGTAAATAAAAACTTTTACTGGCTAGCCACACTGAAAAAAGAGAATCCACCTGTTTGCTGTAATGCCCAGGTTTTTAGAGCACTTTATAAATGAGGTTTGTGTTGAGAAGAGTCTGTTTAAGTTGAGAGTGTTGATTTTTCCTTGTTGGGACAGGTCAACAGACTCAGTGGCACAATCAGCTGGCAGAGCAGATGTCCATAAGATATGGTGAGCACTATTTTATGCAATAAAAGTATTTTTCCCAAGCACATACAAACACTTTATACATTCAGATTACCATATATGTCACAACACAAACATAACAAAATTTCTTACTGAACCGTGTTAGGAATCCTAACATCCATCAGCAGGTCTTTAGGGAAAATAGGTTGACGTGTGTGTGACAGACCGAAAAGAAGCCTCCAGAGAAGAGATGCCATACTTTTTGGAGACCTTATTCACATGCTTTGGTTAAGAATTTCTTATATCACTACTTCTTACTGAGTGGATTACTTCATATTAAAAGGGAGGAGAATTGAAGCCCAAATGTAAATGAAGAAGACTGTAGAGTAGGGTTCCATGTTTCAAATTAACCTTGCATGTCCACTTTAAAGACTCTTTCTTTTGCTAACAAATTGGCCCTATTGGTCTTTAGAAAGAGATGTTTAGGACATTAATTGGATTCACTTTTGAATCTACGACCACCTTAATATACACTTATTTTATTCAATAGCATTTCCCTAACACCAGGTTGCATGTTGACATAAGAAATCAACCCACCCTCTATCAAGAACATTAAGAAAATGCACTCCTGAAGCCTTGCACTTAGGGATCAGCAGTGTTTCCATAACATAAACTTTTTGTCATTGAGATGACAACGCCAGTTTGAAATAAATGGGAAATCAAAAAGTTGCCACAGTCATTATGAAATGAAAAGTTTTAATTTTGTCCATTTATTCTTTTTCAGACTTCCCCCTTCAAATAGAACAAAGAATGGCTACGACTTGAGAAACATTTTTTTATTATAAATAGAGCCTTTGTATAAAAAGTGCATGCGTTAGTTAAACCATGGCATTTAATCATATCACAACCAAAACCTGCCAACCAGTTAGTCAAAAACAGTGACAGTATCATCTCAAAATGCACGTCAATGGACACACAACATCAGACAAAATCAGAATTTTCACAACCACTATTAAGTTGTTTTTGTTGTCAACATACAATTAGAATAGCAACAAACACAGTTAGTCCCCACAATTTCTTTCAGAAGATTTTTAAAAAATGTATTTAAACAAAAATTTTGCTTGAGTCTCCAGTTACCATCTTCTTGTTTCCTTAATATTTTTCAGATGGATTTTACTTTATTTTTAGGCTTTTTGCTCCGCTGAGGTCTGTTCCCTGCTGTCTGTAAACAGAAAAAAACAAACAAACAAAAAAAAACTCCACAGACTCCCTCTGATCTTGAAATTGTTCAGAGTACCTCGTTTCTGTCATAGCCTGTGGTGGTGTCCTTTCCTCAAAATCTGACAAAAATGTGCATATTAAATGTCCCAAAAGGTCTTTGTGCCAAAGTCGTTATATCTTCACATCGCATGGTTGGTGTAGCTCACATAGGTCGTTTTTGGAGGTGGCACTAACAAGAGGATAGAAAACAGCAGGTTTATAAGTTGAGATATTAGAACAGCAACAGACAACTCTTTTCTATTGGTATTTTTTTTTTGTCTCTTATGGTTTCATCAATCTTCTTTAGCCACAGTTCCGCTGTATATACCTATATGGTAAGATTATGATTTGAATAATTCTAACATAATTCTTGGATTCTACTGAGACCAAAAAATGACTGATTATTATATTCTGTATACCACCTTAATTCTTATTTCTCTTGGAAAATTGAATGTTTATTACTGCTGCAGCAGAAAAGAAGACCTCTTTTATCCTGTAAGAACATCAGCCTTCTGATGTTCTTACAGGATAAGAACATCAGAAGGTAGAGAAATTAAAAGTGATGTGGAAGCTCCTGCTTGTTAAAGAAAGAAGAGCAATTCAGTCAGCACATCTCGAATGAGTAAACAATCTGACGTCTCATGATTTTCTGCTGATGGACTAAGAAGTAGCTTCGAAGTGTAACTCTGAGCTATAAGCAGTTTTGGCTTCAAATCCAAGCTCAGGTGACGTCTAAATAAACTCCAGCCACTTCATGTTAAATGCTTATTACTGAAGAGAAGAAAAAAACTCGTTCTGCCTCTGACATCACCTCATCAACAAAATATATATTTTCTTGCACATCTGTCCGTTCTAACTGATTCTAACAATAATACTTTTACCATAATTTAAAGGATAATGTTTAACTAGATCATCTTGTTCCCTGTCTCCTCCTGGTCTTTTAATGCCAGCTATCAAACATCTCCTGGTCACACTTACCACTAGCTTCCATACCCTCACAAAGCTCAGTCTTCACTTCGCCGTTGGGCCGCTCAGCTGCCAGGTGTGACAGCTTGCTGGTCATAGTGGCAGCGGTGACGATGGCCTTGAAGCTGCGTTTACGTTTGGGGACGTTCCGCTCGGGGTGGAAGATGATGATGTACACCTTTGGCATATAGAGCATGCCCAGAGAGACAGAAGCACTGAGGCTCAGAGACACCGTCAGTGTCGCCGTCTGGATGTACATCTGTGGATAAAACAGGAGGAAGAACTGGCTGAGAATGAGACTCAAAGAGGCAGTACAATGACCAAGACATCGACCTCCTAATAATGCTCAACTGCGGTGCAAAGAAACTATGAAACAGTTGGTGCTTTTAGTGACCTATAATAATTCCAAGGATTACATTTACACAAAGTTTATATTAAAAATGGACGTTTAATTTCAGTGATCTAGTAGCTCATCCAGCTCACAATCATTCCCAATTCAGAGATTAATGTATTGTGTTAAATACAGAAAGAATGTGATTTGATATTTTGTCATTTATTGGCTGTACTGCACAAACCAATGAGAAGCCAAGAAGGCTCGCATTAATCTAATTCAACACTAAATTAAAGTGTTTGTATTATGCATTATGAGTAAGTATTATGATTACTGTAGTAACTGTCATTAATGTCCCCTGTCTCACTCTGTTCAGTGACAAATCAAATTCTTCTGATCCTCACAGTTTTGGCTGTAGAGTCAGGATAGGAGGAAAAAGTGTTAAGTGCGCTACCATGCCCTCAAGGTCCATCCGAAGAATAAAAGAGACCCTAGGAAGAATTTTTTTAGAAGAGCTAATTATTCTGGCTGTTATAATAGATAGTTTTCTGCAGGCCTTTTCTGTAGAGCCTCACAGTGCAGCCTGTTATGAGTGTAATTTCATAAACCATATTTTTTTATTTACTATATGGGTTAAACTTAAACGTACTTAATTTTAACATACCTGATTCTATTCTGATCAGTACTAAACAATATTTGTTATCTTTTCTACATCTTTATTTTGATTTATCTTTGATTGAGAATAATAATATTTTAGCACTCTGATCATTTTTAACAGAAAAGGCTGGATGTTGAAACCTTTTGCCACCTCTCAGATGTGGTGACAGGGGAAAGTCAGGGGGACTTCAATCTCTCTCTGCCCCACTTCTCTCGACAGTACTAAAATGTTCTTTTTCACATAATGTATGTTTCATGCTCACATGCAAAAAATAACCAAAGCGTCCAATGATGATGTCAGTGTATGTAGAAGTATTGCTGAATGGTGATGATCTAGAAACTCCCGCTTCAGAGTGGTGTAAACAGTTTTTCTACTTGCTGAACTGTATGATGTCAGTGAAAGGTGATATCTTTAATATAAGACCTCAGTCACACAGGCCTAGAGATTGCTGCCAGAGAAAAATGTGCGATCCTTGGCTAGTTGAAAAACGAGGTGAAGATGTTAGAGGGTGCTGGCTATTGCTCTGTGAAATCAGTTGGAACGAGGGTACTCTTTGTGTTTACTTGGTTGCTCGTTAGCTTGTTGCATTTACCTGTACTCTAGCATTAGCTGCACTGAAGCAGTCAACTTTTCTGCTAACTAACCACCAACTGGAAGAAACCAGAGGCTGTTCAGCTTCAAACTAAAAGCCTTATTTGTTGAAGTGGTAAGGCATAAATTTTACTTTGAATGGGAACTCTTCAGTTTCACAGCTGCTTAATAATTAGTTGTTGAGTAGTAGCAGACATGCTGTCATCTCCTTGCAAACAAATGACAGTGACCAAGTCAATAGTACGTTTTTTGCAACCAATTTCACCCAGCAGCAAACAACCTGACAGTGGATAAACTGGTTGAAATACATAAGATAAATGAAAATTATTTTGAACTGCTAAGAAGCTTCTCTACTAGCGACAATAAAAACATGGAGCTGAAAATGAAAACTATGAGTGACGTAAGTAGCATGCAAAGTTAAACATACACAATACTAACTTAAACAAGATTTGTCCTTCTAAAACTTTGGCCAGAAGGGGTGAAAGAAACAAAAAACTATTTGGCTTTATTGGAAAAATATACAAAAACCAAATAATGAATTATTTTGCACCAGAGAGTACTGATTTTGAGTTAGCTATTGAGAAAAACAGTAACTCCTGTACATTCAGGTGGATTTTATGCAGCAGAGACATGAGCTGCTGCATGAATAAAATAGGGATAGCTGAGCAGGAAAACCAGTGCAAGTGAAACAATGAAGTCACAGATCAGGTGGACATCACTGCAGCAAATTTTCTCCAACTGCTTTAACTGAACCAAAATGAAACATTGCAGCATTGAGCAGATTCTTGGATTTAAATGGAGAGCATCTTTGTGGTCTCATTTGAAACAGGAAGTATTAAAGTGTTTGTCTTCTCTGTCAGCTGACAGATGTGCTGCAGTCTGTGTTGGGATGAAAACCAACTGTCTGATGCAGCAAGGAAATTGTTGACTCAGTTAACAGAGTGAAAGAGAGAGAGAACAGTTTTCAACCTGACTCAAGCACACACACACACACACACACACACACACACACACACACACACACGTGGGGAGCTCAACCAGGCAACAAAAAGCTCATTCTGCCTTCTGAATATCTGTCACAGCACACCTTCGCTTGTGCTCCCAAAACAGAACGCCACCTGCTGTTACTGACTGTTTTGACACCAACTTCATTACTATGACAACCA